AAATATACTTTAAAATATCATTTATTTCTGATGCAAAGCTGAATTTTCAGCATCATTAGCCTACTCCAGTCTTCAGTGCATGATCCTTCAGAACTCATTCTAATATGCTGATTTATTATCAATGTTTGAAACAGTTGTGCTGCTTAATTTTTTATTACTTTTTTTGTAACCTGTGATACTTTTTTGGGGTTCGTTGATGAATAAAAAGTTAAAAAGAACAGCATTTGCTCAAAATAGAGATGTTTTCTAACAATATAAATCTTTACTATCACCGTTTCTATTAATTTAACAAATCCTTGCTGAAAACTAATTTCTTTCAAACAAAAAAAAAATACTGACCAAGCTATGAACGGTAGTGTATATTGTTACAAAAGTTATATTTTAAATAAATGAAAAAATCAATTACAAAACAACAATTTAAATATTTAACACTGAACATTTTTAACATTCTAGCAGACACTATACCAACAAAGTTAAATAACTTAAAATTAATTAGTTAGTAAAATAATATTTTTTGGCCATCAGACCCCCTTCTTGAATCAGCCATGTATTTTTTTTCTTTTACTGTACAATTAAAAGCAGCCTTTCTGAGAAGAGACTTCTTTTAAAACAGAATATATTATAGATCCTAATTTGAACACTATGTGTGAATGTTATAATAAATGTATTGATGTTTTCTAACAATATAAATCTTTACTATCACCGTTTCTATTAATTTAACAAATCCTTGCTGAAAACTAATTTCTTTCAAACAAAAAAAAAATACTGACCAAGCTATGAACGGTAGTGTATATTGTTACAAAAGTTATATTTTAAATAAATGCTGGTCTTTTTGAACTTTTTATTCATCAAAGAATTCTGAAAAAAAGTATCACGTTTCCAACATTGATACTAAATCAACATTGCATAAAATGCATTTTAAAGTATATAAAAATTTTGATCAAATAAATGCAGGCTTGATGACCGTAAGTGACTTGCAAAAATATAAAATAGTAATGTATCCAAACTTTTGACCTATAATTGTTTTGTTTTTTTAATTGCCCCATTTTACATTTGAGCCCCTGCCCGAGGAACTCTCTGCACATCCCTGCAAAGCAAAAACAAACACTCTCCTTCAATCCATTAACGTTTCTCTCAGTTAATGTACGTGGTCTCGCAGTCTGAAGCGTCTGTCATAGCAAATCAGCACATGCTGTTGTGAATAATTAAGCAAAGCGTCTTCTCATAGGATAAGAACACGAAGTCTCATGAATAATTTAATAGACACCAACGTGTCATTGATGTACTATAGTCCATTGCCATGTCACAAATTGTGACGTCAACACGATGTAGATTTTAAACCCGGAAGATGAAAATAGTGCAAAAA